GCGAGCGCTCTGAAATAGTTGAAATTTACATTCAACAGAAGAAGTCAATTGTGAAAACTCAACGTGCTTTTAAACATTAAAAAAACATTTTCGACTGGTAAGACTGTTTCTAATCCGAAGAGGCCATATAAAAGTCGACCTAGGCGGTCGGCCGAGAATATCGCTAACGTACGAGTCAGTGTTGAGAGGTCCCCAAGAACATCCCAAAAACGCCGTTCTCAGGGGTTGGGCATGGCTCGGTCCACTTTAAACGGATTATTCGCATTGATTTGCATTTGTTCCCGTACAAAATTCAATTGACGCAAAAAATGTTGCCTGCGGACAAGCCTCGTCGATTGGAATGGGCCCAAAGGGCCCGAAGGTCCGTCGAATATGGGCAACCCTGTATAATAGTGTACTGTAATTTTATGATGCCTTACAAATTTCGAATAAAAAGCTGTTCTCAATTTCCATAATCGCTTATTTTACTCTATTTGAAAACTATTAATTTTGTATCTTTAGAAGTGGTGCCAAAATGAATTAAGTTGTAATAACGGGTCAGTCCAACAACCGTGAAATACCCAATTTTCCAATAATTCCCGTTGTAAAATTTGGCAACAATCATCGAAACACCGAATATCTAAATGTGAAATAACTAAGTTGTCACTTCTTGATTTTTAATATATCAAATCTGGATATTGCAATTTTAACAAAATTGACACTATTTTTTTCGAAGCAAATCTCTTTATGTTCAAGCAACTAACGCCATCCATTTACATTTCCAAAAATTAACTTTGTTTTATGGTTGCATAAATTAAAAATCAATTATCTCCAGAAGGCAATGCATCTTTTTTATACATCCATATTATATTTTCAAATTATAATTCATTAATTCAATTTCCATGGAATTAACACAAATACACATTTGTCATCTCTGTACCCAGCTAACATTTTTTTCCGAGGGCTCTGATGTCCGATTTTTTTCGAGATTTTCTGCCGTTTCTTCAGAAAAGTTTCCGAGTAATCTGCACATACTCATAAATTCCGATAAATGTTATATTCATAACATGCTTCTTATTGAGAGAAATATTTGAGCATAGCAAGTAGTAAAGAATTGCTAAATTTTTTCGAAAGTTATGACATATAATATTAATGAAGATTGAGACCCTTTGTGGGTGAGGTACCAGAAGGGGTTCGCAGATATATATCAACTTCATAACAGATCTTGTGTTAGCAAACATTTTTTATGTGTGAAATTTGAAGAGAGTTAAATGCTTATTTCGCTTTATTTGAGCGTTTTGTTTTTCAAAATCTTGAACCCTAATTATGGGTGAAGTACCAGAAGAAATGGTTCGATCTATACCACCACTATAACAGATCTTGTGTTGATAGAAATATTGAGATGTGCCAAGTCTAAATAGAATCGGATCTTAATGTGGCGTTTTATGAGCTTCATGGGTATTCAACATTTCGACACTTTGTGGGGGAGGTACCAGAAGGAGTGGGCCGATACAGAAATTTGAAGACGTTCGGATCCTTACATCACATTTTATAATTATTCAAAATGTTGACCCTTTGTGGGGGAGGTACTTGATGGAGTGGACCGGTATTGTCCATTTTAGCACCTGACCTAGCACTGACGTAAATATTAGTATTTGCAAAGTTCGAGCAAAAACGGGTAATCGTTTCTCTTTCTGTGCAAAAATATACTTTATATATATTTTTTGAAAATTTCGATATTTTGTGGGGGAGGTACCAAAAGTAGTGGACTGATACATTCTATTTTCACACCAGACCTTGGGCTAATAAAATTATTGAGTTGTGAAAAATTTGAAGACAATCGGACTCTTATATCACATTTTATAAGAGTTTTAATTATTAAAAATATTGACACTTTGTGGGGGACGTACCAGAAGGAGTGGACCGATCTTGTCCATATTCACACTTGACCTAGTACTAACGCAAATATTAAGATTTGCAAAGTTGAGCAAAATCGGATTATCGTTTCTCTTTCTGTGCAAAAAATATATATTTTTTTCAAATTTCGACAATTTGTGGGGGAGGTACCAGAAGGAATGGACCGATACATTCCATCTTAATATCAGACCTTGGGTTAACATAAATATTGGCATGTGTGAAATTTGAAGACAATCGGACTCTTATATCACAGTTTATAAGAGTTGTAATTATTCAAATTTGACCATTTGGGGGGGAGGTACTTGATGGAGTGGACCGATATTGTCCATTTTCACACATGACCTAGCACTGACGCAAATATTAAGATTTGCAAAGTTGGAGCAAAATCGGATTACCGTTTCTCTTTCTGTGCAAAAAATATTTTTTTTTTTTGAAAATTACGAACTTTTGTGGGGGAGGTACCAGAAGGAGTGGACCGATATTGCCCATATCCGAACTCGATCTAAGTTTGACAAAAATATTACTATGTACCAAGTTTCGATCAAACCGGATACTCCCTTCGAGAGTTATCGTGCGCACCAGCCAGCCAGACAGACAGACAGACGGACGGACATCGCTAGATCGACTCCAAATGTTCTGTAACGGATTTGGTCCAAAGAGACCTAGGGTATAAAACCGTTATTTCGACTAGGCACGTTTTGGCCGTATCAAATGATATATTCCCTCTGTAGCCATATGGCTGAGGATATAAAATGTTCTATCATTAAATTGAAAAATATAAACAGAAACAATTATCTAAAAATTAGATAAAGGTTTAGTATTTCGGTTTTTCAATTACAACTATAGAATAAATTCAAATTTTTTGCGAATTTCGTATTAAACATCCGAAAAATTTCCGAATTTCATATCAAACATCCTATAACTCTCCGAATATTCCTTTTTTCTTTGGCGAATTCTATACGAATTCGCCCCGAATCTCTTACGATCTTTCAGAATTTTTCCGAAAAAGCTTTCAGAATCTTGGGCAAATCTCACACAATTTTTTTCCGAGTTCTTTCTGAATTCGACATCAGAGTCGAAAACTTGTGCAGAATTTTTTTCCTAATTCGGAAGAAAATCGGAAAAAAATGTTTGCTGGGTGGTTATGTATTTATGCATTGGTGTACTGACAACGATAACGAAATGAAATAACCAACGAGGTTAATTTTATATTGCATATATATTAAATGTTGGTTTGTATACAGCTGTTAACACACATCAATCATATATTTATATAAATAATATTTACATACAAACAATAATCCTATAATCATTTAAATCATGTAATAGTAATAATTAAAATTATGTAAATTAATTACTATATATAAACAAACGCTAGGTTCATAATAATAAGTTACAGCTTTTCAACAAATAATCGAACAATCAATAAAATCGAGGGTGGGGGGAAGGGTAAGAAAACATTTTTGTTTTTTATTTTTAATTTTTCCATATTATAATACTTTAACTTAGAGCAGTAATAAATAATGAATGGAATATTTAATACTCCATTCGTTTATGATTATAATTAAGTATTAACTTATAACTTAGAATTAACTAATCTAATTATTTAAGTTTTAAATACTAGCGATTTTGGAGAGTAAGCTGATAAAATTTGGATGGTTTTAAGTTTCATGATTATTTAACTCCGAAGAAAAACAAATACTTTTGAACAGTGCTTGAAATAAGGAATAAGTAATGACTCCAGACCAGTGGCTTTATACCAGTCATAATTTGAAAAAAAAGGAACTAATAGGTGTATTATACTCTGGATCGATTTATACTAAATTAGACGCAGGCATTTGTATATATTCGGTATATTTCGGAGTTATAGCTATATCTTATTCAATTTTCACCAAAATCCATCCTATTTGAGGTCATATTGCACAACTACCTCCATATATTAACTGCTGACAACATTAGAGACCTAAATAACAAAAATCGGAATTCCAGTTTATTCCTACACCCAATATCAAATTTAGTGTCATTTAGTAGTTTTCGTTCACATATAGGACTCATTTCCAAAACCACTTCCATATCCTAACCACAAACACCAACAGAGACCTAAAAAACAAATTTCGGGATTTCAGCCTCATTCCTTCACCCAATACCAAATTTTGTATCGTTTAGAAGTTTCGTACAAATATGGGAAGCATTATAAACGTGAAATCGGAAGAAATAATATATGGGAGTTATATTGAAATCTCTAAAATGATTTAGCCGAGGTATTTATATGCTGTTCTGATAGCTGACACCAATTATCGTTGTTTTAGAGTACATATTACGACTGTGGGGGGGGGGTGCAGAAATAGCAAATCGGATAAACAATATATATGGAAGATATGACACACTTTTCGTCCAGGCTGAATTCGGTCGTATGTGAAAAATTCTTTTCAATTCCGGTTTTTATTAACCATTTGGTGCACAATCAATTTAGAATCGAATAAAGATATATATGGGAGCTATATCAAATCTGAACCGATCGCGATAAAATTTGACAAAGTTATTACTAAGCTGCATTTGGTATTCTTTCTGGAATATCGTTGTTATGGAGAAAATATTACAGCTGTGGTGGACTAAAATAACAAATCGAGTGAACTATGTATATGGGAGCTACAGGTATATCTAAATAGATTTTCATAAAATCTGACATGTGTACACATTTGGTGCTCAGTAAAAGACAAATCGGACAAAAATATGTATGGGATTTAGATCTAAATATTGTCCGATTATCGCTAATTTCAATAGGGTTCGTCCTTGGGCCAAACAAATGATTTGTGCCAAATGGTAAAATCTATCAAGAGGTATAATAACCGTTTTTTTTTTTTTAATTTTTTCGTAAAGGAGAAATGCAGCATTGGACTTCCTCTGGTGGGATACAGTACCGTGGTGCATTCGGACGGCTTAAATTTTTTTGGGGTCCGATACTAGAACAAACATTTCTTTTTGCTGTGGCTTTCAAATCGGTATTGAAAATACTAAGTGAGAGTAAAATGAGTATACAGTGAGTGAGAGTAAAATGAGTATACAGCCAGCAATTAGCCAAAAACATAGAATAAACCCCAAATTTCATGAGCAGTTTGAGCACACTCATTTGAAACGCCTGGATTTGTAGAAGAGCAGAAATTTGATTTTGCCCCTCGGCTACGCTTTTGCTCAAGTATTGCTGATTATGAACGATTTTTTTCAGAAATTTGGGGCGAATGAAGTTATTGTGCAACAATACTATTCAAAAGATAAAACTGGCATCGAAGGAGAGAACTCATATGACCTGATATGGTGCAGCGAGGTATTCCACATTTTAATATTGAGGGATTTGCAAAATTTAAGGCAAATCAAACATTTATTATCAATTTTATGGTAATAACTGTTAATGAAAATTTCAACATTTTGTGGGAGAGGTACGAAAAGGAATGAGTCTAGAAATTACATATTCACATCACATCTCTGGTTGAGAGAAACTTTTGAACGTGAAAAGTTTTAAAATAATCGCTGACATGATTCGCAATTTAAGAGAGATATAAGTATTTAAATTTGTGACCCATTTTGGGAGAGGTACCAGAAGGGGTAGGTCGAAATCTATCATCTTCGCGCCAGATCTTGCGTTAGTACAAATATTGCGATGTGTGAAATTTAAAGAGAGTCAGCTTATTATGCTATTTACTATGCTTATTATGCTTTTTATGAGAGCCATAACTATTAAAAATTGTAACCCATTGTAGGGGAGGTGCCCGAAAGAGAGTTCCGATATATCCCATCTTCACACCACATATTTTGTTGGAAAAAATATTAAAACGTGTGAACTTCAAAGAGAATCTGATGCTTGTTTCGCATTTAAAGAGAGATAGAACAATTCAACATTTTGACACGTTGGGGGGAGGTGCCAGTAGGAGAGATTCGATCTCATTTTGTGTTATTAAAATATTGAAATGTGTGAAATTTGAAGAGAATTAGATGCTTATTTCGCATTTTATGAAAGTAATAATTATTGAAAATTTTGAAACTTTGTTGGGGAGGTACATGATGGAGTGGGCCGATATTGTCCATTTTGGCACCTGTCATAGCAATGATACAAATATTGGGATTTACTAATTTTGAACAATATTGGATGATCCTTTCTTGTTCTATTAGGTAAATTAATACCAGAAGGAGTAGACCGATATTGCCCTTCTCCAAACACGATCTAAGTTTGACTGTAATATTATCAATCGGATACTCCCTACGAGAGCTATTGTGCACACCAACCAGACAGAGCGACAGACGGATACCCCTATATCGACTCCATATGTCCTGAAATAGATTTGGTCCAAAGAGATCTAGGCTCTAAAACCGTTAATTCGGTTTTATGGCAGTATAAAATGATATATACCCTCGGTAGCCATATGTATGAGGGTATAAAAAACAATAGGGCTATTTTATTTTGCATATTACACTCAAATGCACAAAGACCAAAGGGTACTTTAAATTTACTCTTTTTACACGCGAGTGAAACTTGCTCGAAGTGACGAGATTAATACGAAATGTACTCCTGTTTCAAAGTTTAAATTGGTAGTCGAAGTACTCGAAATAGAGCTTGGTTTTCTTGCATTTACAGATGTGGGCTGAGAGAATACACATACTTACAAATTCGACAACGGTATGTCATAACCTAAAGTAGTGCTCGGCAAGAGTAGTCTCTGCTCGAATTCGAGCGAACTTTTCGCACTCTGGAAAACGATAAGATCATATTCGTTATTAATCGATTGATATCGAAAAAAAGTATTCTTATTTTTGGTCTGTACTCCCGATCGAATTCGAGCGAATTTCACGCTCTTGTTATGTTCTGGCAGCATTTCGGAGCATCATCAATGATGGTTCCAACACTTTAAGATACGGATGTAAATGAAATGTGGTTTCAATAGGAGGTTGTCACTTTGCCACTCTGAGGGCGAAATAATTGACTTATTGAAAGAACATTTCAACAACAACATTCTTCCGTGAAAGGGGCCGGTGAATTGGCCTCCACGTTCGTGTGATTTGATGCGACTCTATTATTTATTGTGAGGATACCTGAAGTCATTGATTTATGTGGATTAAAAATAAATTTAGTTGAAATGAGGCGAAATATCTTCTTCACTGTGGCAGAGAGGATTAAACATTAAAATTGGTAATACATTAATAAATCGGTTTCTGTGTGACCTGTTTATAGACCTTGAAACTCATGTCCAATCCAAGTATCTGTAAACAAAAAAAAAAAAAAAAAAAAAAAAAAAACTTAAAGGCTACCTGAAGATATACATTTAATCGAATCTGCCATGCTGTGCTGTGTACATTTGTTATCCTTTACCTCAAACACCACAAAACTTTGCCGATTCTTAAGTTTTCCCTCTCAACCATCAAATATTTTATCAGCTTTTCGTATTTCGTCTTGGTTTTTGTTGTTCTTTTATTGTTTTTTACTTAACCCTCCGACTACTCAAATATCTCCCATTGTTATTTAGTTGTATGTCTGGCCCATGCAGTTCTCTGCACTTGACTCATAATTTGACTGCGATTTGGTACTTTTTCGCTGGTACTGCGTTGTATGAAACTGGGCGTGGCCGAGAGCTTACGTTGATTCGTCACGTTACCCGCCTCGTCGGTTACTTTCAACGTAACCGTATTGTAACGCGGCGAATTGGATGATGATGGACTCATATCGATGTTGTTGTTGCTGGCGTGACTATTTAAATTTGATGTACTGCGCACCATTTGTGATAGCGGTGAATCCACCGTTGATGACGAGCGACTGTTTTCTCTAGATCCTCCGCCTCCAGCGCCACCGCCGCCACCCGTTCCGGCTATATTACCATTCGACACAGATTGTGTTAGATTGTGGTTGAATGGCTTCATCAGATGTTCATCGAGCGTATTGAGATTTTTATCCAAACTCAATTGTATTTCATCATTCAGGGTTAACGGCGAATTGGAATAAGAATTGCGATTCAGGGTGCCCATGGGTGAGGGCGTCAAATTGCCCATAGAACTGGGTGTGGGAGTGCTTAGGAAATTATAATTACTACTGGCATTGTTGTTATTGTTGGATGGACTGCATGACATGGGATTGACATAGAAGAAGGAAGAGGGTGTTGTGGCACCACCATTCGGCAGCGCCAGGGCAGCCGACGATGCTCCGCTGGCTCCCAAATTTAAAGCTTGTAGGCGATTCAATAGCTCTTGATTGACCTGAAACAGATCTTTGGACAGGGCCTCCTGCTGCTGCTGGACGTTTGGTGAAGCACTTAGTTGTTGTAGCTGTGATGTAATATTTTGTAATTGATTCATGGATGGAAAGGGGCTGGAGGACAATGTGTTGGTTGTCAGATTTCCAGTATTTGCAGCCGAAACATTCAGATGTAATTGGGATTGACTAAATGATGATGTTGGCGTTTGTAGGGCATTTGCTTGTTGTTGTTGGGCCAACGATGATGCCGATGTGGGTGTTTGTTGTTGCTGCTGCTGTTGTTGAAAATTTTGCAGATTTTGTGTTTGTTGATTGAGACCGCTTAGCTGATGACTGAGCGATGTTAGTTGTTGATTAATTGTACCCAAATTATTAATTTGCTGATTAATGGTGGCCAAATTATTGTTGGCATTACCGGCTGTGGCCTGCAGTAGCATTTGTAGATGATTCTATAAAGTTGTCGATTCGTGCGATAGAGAAGAACAGAAAGAAAATCGATGAAGATGATTGAATATTCGTTTATTGATTCGTATAATTACTCAGGAACTGTAAAATATCCATGCGTAACATTAACAAAAAGAATTGAAGCACATTCAGAGCGGGCAGCAAAACAAAATTGACATATAAAAACAAGTTAACGGCGCGGGTAAAATAAAACAGACGCACATTTCAATTTAACAAAAATAAAATAGCATTTTTATAATTTTTGGCATGCGAACAAAGCAAGTAGTTTTTAACACTTGGCAAAAATAAAAACAGACTTCACACTTTTTTTCAAAACAGGGTAATTTGTTATAAAACAATAAATCAAGGAGGTAAATAAGAAAAATTATATAAAATGTGTTGATTTTTTTAATTTTTTTTTTTTTTTTTTTTTTTTTTTTTTTAAACAAAAATTCGGTAAATTGCGAATCGTGTCCTATCTATATCTATAAAAGAGGAAAATGTTTGTATGTTTGTTTGTTCGTAATTTATGGACTAGAAAACCGCTTAACCGATTTTCCTGAAAATTTCCAAGTATACTACAACATCGACTGAAAGTAACATAGGCTATATGAATATTTGAAATTCGACTGGTGATATGGCCACAGAATCCGAGGTACCTCCCAAAAATTCAGATTTTATATGCACATATCTATTGATATATTACAGATACAGTCTCCATATTTGGAATGCATAATGGAATTTGGAACAAAAATAAATTTGCCAAATTATATTGAAATCGGTTCAGGTTTGGATGTAGTTCCCATATACATATTCGGCCGATTTCATGTATTTGATGCACCAAACACGATACGTATGTCAGATTCTAAATTGGTACTAAAAATATTTGTCAAAATTCGGTTGAGGTTTGGGTATACACGATATGTATGTCCGATTCCAATGAAATTCAGAAGGTGTGACGGAATTTGGTTAAGATTTGGATATAGCTTCTCTATATATTCTCGGCCGATTTCACATATTTGATGCACCAAACACGGTATGTACCTCCAATTTCAATGAAATATGTGAAGGTGTGACGGAATTTTATGGGGAAGCATCTTGCTGCAAATTTCCTAATTGCGACAGAAACACCACTTAACTTCCAAAGATTGCAGTTTTCTGCACGCTTGGCATTTGGTATAAAATTAGTAAATCCAAAGGACAAACCCTTCGTTTATGCGGACTAAATTTGGCATGTTCCTGCTTTTCCTCATTGTCAGCTCTTCCTGGCATGTTCACGCGTTGGTATTTTAATGAAATAGGAACACCTCAAATTGGTCGTTAGCGGTACATGAGGTTTTAGCTAAAATATGAGTCAATATTAACAAATTCCGGAGTAATTGTATTCATCGAATCGTGTTGGAAATTAAGGTTGAAACCTTGGAAATTTCGAATATAAAGAGGTTCCAAATAATTCCGGAGTAATTGTATTCATCGAATTAAGGCTGAAACCTTGGGAATTTCGAATATAAAGAGGTTCCAAATAACCAAACCAAATAATGTAGCCACGTGAAGGAGTGGGCCGATAAATTGCATATTCACATCAGATCTCTGTTTGAGAGGAATATTTTGATACATCAAGTGAGATGTATCGCTGAGTTGTTCTGCAAGTTATGAGAGATTTAAAAATTGAAAATGTTGACTCCTTTGCTACAATAATTGTTAATCAAAATTATAATGGTTTGCGGGAGAGGTACATGAAGAAGTCACCGATATATCCCATCTTCACACCAGATCTTGTGTTATTTATAATGTTGGGATGTGTTAAATTCGAAGCGGATCTGATGTTAATTTCGCATATTATGAGAAATATAAATATACTTTATTAAATTAAATTTTTGACCCGCTGTGGGAGAGGTACCAGAAGGTCCGACATATTCTATCTTCACATCAGATCTCGTCTTAGTAGAAATATTTGGATGTGTGAAATTTGAAAACAATTGGTGACTTATTTCGAATTTTATAAAAATTTTAATTATTCAAAATGTTGACCCGTTGTGAAGGAGGTATCTTCACACCACATCTTGTTTTTGTGGAAATAGTGCGAACTTTGAAAAGAATCGAACACTTATTTCTAATTTTATGAAAGTTATAATTATTGAACATTTTGACCCTTTCTTGGGAGGTACCTGAAGAAATGGTCCGATATCTGCTATCTGCTATCATTTGTGTTTGTTGAAATATTAGGATAATTAAAGAATCCGACAATTAATTCGAATTTTGTAACAGTTATAACTATTCAAAATATTGACCCGTTGTGGGGAGGTACCAGATCGAGTGGTATATTCTATGCGTTATTCATACGCAATCTTGTGTTGGTAGAAATATTGAGTTGAGCGAAATTTGAAGACAATAGAACTCTTATTTCCAATTTTAAAAAAGGGGAGATATTTGATGGAGTAGAGCAATATTGTTCATTCTAGCACCAGACCTAACACTGATAAAAATTTTGGGATTTGCAAAGTTTGAACAAAATTCAATGATCTTTTCTGGTTCAATTAGGTAAACTATTATCTATGAAAATTTTGACCGGAAGGAGTGGACCGATATTTCCCACCTCCAAACTTATTCTAACTTTGAAAATAATATTACGAAGTACCAGGTTTGAATCAAATCTAGAGTTATCGTGAACACCAGCCAGCCAGAAAGACAGACGGACAAACCTAGATCGACTCCAAATGTCCTGATACGTATTTGGTCCAAAGAGGCCATTATTTCGATAAGGCATGTTTTGGCCGTATCAAATGATGTATACCCTCTGTAGCCATATGGCTAAAGGTATAAAAAGAATGGCTGGTCTCGTCTAAATAACGGTTTTCGACTTTTGAACTAATTCCGTTGCAAGACATTTGGAGTCAGTCTATCAATGACCATCCATCGTCCTGGCTGGGTGGTGCCCACGATGACGATCGAATAATGAAAAAGTAAAAACCTGCTAAGCTCCAAGCCGAACTTTTAATACCCTCCACCATTTAAAAGAAACTAGAAAATAATTGAGAAAGTCCCGCTAAAGAATACCGCTTAATGAAAACTGAAATTTTTTACGAACTTCAAATACGAACTCATAAAAATACCGAATATCGAGAGGTATCGTTACATGGGGGCCATACGAAAACGTGGACCGACATGGCTCATTTACGAACTTAAACTGCCTACTGGCAAAAACACATGTGTGATAAATTCAGTTAGAATGTTATGCTGATCCAGAATATATACTTTGTAGGGTCTATCGTGAGTATTTTGAATAGTTACAAATATAATGACAAAGTTGATTTACCCTTTATAGAATGGTGGAGGGTATAAAAATGAGAGTGTTTATCTCCAAAAAAAAGTATTATTGTGACTTGTCTTCAGTCTGCAACTTGGCTTAAAAATATATTTTCAAAATCTAGGACTAACTGTTCATGGCATATTACGACTAATAATTAGACATCTCCTCACTGTGTTACCTCTTATAAAATGCGCAATTTATTATTGTTAATAAAACAAGCGGAAATGATTATTTGGCTATCATTTGCGTTCATTGTCTCAAATAGTAAACAGCAGAAAGGAAATACTATAAAAAAAATTGGTCAAGCGTCAGGAACAAATTATATTTAACATTTAATGAAAAAGAAAACAAAACTTAGCAAATGTTTATTAGAATCGAATTAAATTTGGCAAAAACAAAAACAACAACAACAACAAATTATAACAAATAACATGTAGATAATTCATGCCAACTCACCTGTGGTGCCATTCCTATATTGGCTGTGGTTAGACCAGGCGCCTGCTGCTCATTGTATGCACCCAACGAGGCTAAATGTTCCAGTAGTTCACGGTTTTGTTGTAACAATTGTTGTGTACGAGCCTAGAATGGCGAAAAAAAGTTGTAATTAGCATTTTCAAAATGAAATGGAATGTAGTTTGCGTTTCACATACCTGAGCTTCAATTCGAGCATTTGTTTCCGATATCAATTGTTCCCTTACCATCATTAGTTGCGTTAGGGCATGGCGCGTTTGCATGGCCTGTTGTTCCAATTGATCTTTCAGCTTGTTAATTTCACGACTGGGTGAAGAGGGCGATGTCGGCGATTTATCTTCATCGGTCTGAAATTAAGAGAAAAGTTCCAAGGTGAGAAAACTAGGTTCGCAGATATGTGTTAGAAAGTTAGTATGCGATTTTTAACAAGGTACTCGATCAATTTAATTGGTCATATTCTATGAATAGAAATGCATCGTGGGAGAATACCCGGTGCATTGGCTAAAATTAGTTAAATACCCAGGTATTTATCCAAATTAGGTAGTTAACTATTTATATAATATTTGTTCGAGATTTTGTCGTAACGTGATGAGTAAATATATTTAGCAATTCAGTGCATGCTTTCAGGTGCTCCCTTTAATTTTAAAACTTTAAGAAACGTTTTAAAAGTTTGTAAATAAAATTTTAAATTCTAATATTTGCATCTCGTGTTGTCTCAAATTACATACCAAACAAGTTGGAATTTTGCAGTATGTGTTCCGACAGATATATCCCTGAATTTGACAATTGTTATACCCTCCACCATACTATGGAGGGTAGATTAACGTTTTCATTACGTTGGCACTCCTCGAAGTACTAATGTACTCATTCTTAATAAGCGTATTTTTCACATATGCCTACTAACAGGCAGGTTAGGTTCGAAAATGAGACATGTTAGTCCGCGTTTTCTATCTATTCGGTTCATAGGGTTTGTAATGGGTTCTACCTTCTGTGGCAGAACATTGTCAATATACATCCCCGTGTTCATATAGCCCCCATACGGCATTTTTCGATAAGAAATAGTTTGATGATTTTTAACACGCAATTGTTTAAAATTCGGTACTTCCTGTGGCAGATTCTTCTATATACATAGAAAAAAGTAGAACTAACAGATTGACTGATTGACTTACTTAAGGATTCATCAACGCTTAGACGAAACGGCTGAATTTAGAATCTTGGAATTTTGGGTGAGGGTCACTCTCGGTCCGAAGGGGTCAATAATGCTGGGTTTTTAGAAGTTCGTAGTAGAACGGTACGAAAAGTATTAAAAGGTACTGAATATGGTACCTTTTGTATTTGAGGAAGCAGTGGATCTAGAACTCTTACATTTGGAATGAGGATCACTGATGGAGTGTATATACCAAAGGGTTTTTGGAATTTCGCATTATAAACGTACGAAAAGTACTGAAATGTACTAAAATTGGTATTTCGTATCATGTAAACGGTTAGAGATAATAAACTTGAAATTTGGAATGGGAATCAAGGTTGAGGAGCAGAGTCGATGTAAGAAGGTAGTTTCGGAAGTGTATACTCCAGTATACGATAAGTACTAAACGGTACTAAATTTAGTACAAGTACCGATTGAGCTGGAATTATGACATTAGGAATTACTGATGTAAAGCGGAAAAAAAACTTCTGGAATGGTACTAAACTTCTAAAACGCTACTATTTGGTAGTATGTGAACGGATAGAGCCCAAAAAAATTGAAATTGGGTATGAGAATAAAGGCACGTTTTGGAACGGTTTGGTATAGGGTGAACGGATGTGACATTGTGACATTTTGTTTTGGGATCTCTTTTGGTGGTATGAAGGTGGTTCAGAAAATGTGTACTGCAAGTGCACGAAAAGTACTAACTAGTACTATATTTGGTGCAATTTGGTATTGGGTGACAGGTAGTACTTAAAATCTGAAAATTAGTATTAGGGTCGCTCTTCATGTGTAGCCTGGACATATGGAGGTGATTTTGGAAATGTGTACTATAATTGTAGGAAAAGTACTGAATGGTACTAAATTTGGTAATTGGGATAAAATTATGAAGTTTTATATTGCAATAACTGTTAATATACAGGGTGAGATAAAAAGCTGCAATAAAGTCAATCGCCATAATTTTTACATGTCTTTTTTTAAATTTTATTGAATGAAAGCAACAAATGTCGGAAATAGCATCAAATTTTAGAATAAGTTTAGAATTATGGCTTTCAAACGGCCAATGAAACCGTCACAAGCTTGCTCTGCGGTATTTTGGCCCATGCCCGGAGAAGCGCTTGCTTGAGGTGATCGACACTTTTGTATTTTTTTAGTGCCAACCTTGCTTCCCAAAATTCTCCATACACAATAGTCTAACGGATTGGTATCCGGAGATTTTGGTGGCCATTGTGCGCTGGAAATGAAACGAGGAACCTCATTATGTAACCATACTTGAGTGCGATGGTGCTGAGTCCTGTTGGAATGTCCAAGGTCCGCTGCCAAAATGTTTACGTGCCCAAGGCTTTTATACACTCTCCAGAATATTTTTTGGTGATAATATTCGTCATATATTCTGATGCCACGGTCGATTAATACGAGCGGAGTGCGACCATCGGCAGTTATGGCGGCCCATGGCCGGCGCTTGAGTTCTGGTGGCCAACCGAAGGTGCACATTTTCAGGTCAGCAGCTTTGGCAAGTAAACACGATCATTTTGTTTGTTTAGAAACTCCTGGACAACGAATGTTTTTTCATCGGAGAAAACTAAATTCTGCAGTTCACCACTTTCGGACAAGCGAAGCAACTCTTTAGCTCTTTTGAGTCTAATATATTGCTGTTGCGGTGTAAGTTCTTGCACTCTTTGGAATTTCAATGGGTTTACCCCGAGCTCATTTTTCAATATTTGCCTAATGGTATATTGCGATATGTTCAGCTCACGAGCCATTATTGGGCCACTGCGACGCGGGTTTCGATCAAGTAGCTTCTTTACTTTTCGAACCATTTCTGCTGATGTTTTCTTCTGTCCACTTCCTTGATGTCGGGCTACGCTACCAGTATCACGGTAACGAGAAATGGTACGAAACACAAAAGATTTATTCACATTTAAATAGTGGAATGCTCTGACGATAGCCACCTGTGGTTTTCCAGCCAAGTAAAAAGAAATCACACTATCACGCTTGAATTCCATTACGAAATACTTTTTTTCTGGAAAATTGGCTCCGAAATGCTTTTGTACTCTTGTAATTTTAACAGCTGTCGGACGAGTGGCTTAGAAATGGCAGCAGTCTGAACTTGATTGCAGTTTTTTCATCTCCTCCATTAGGAGGCGGTTTTGGAAATTTGTACTAAATTTGTGGTGGAGATATGGAGGTGGTTTTGGATGTGCGTACTATAACTGTACTAAATGGTACTAAAATTTTGTAGGTGCACCCCCCCCCCCCCCCCCCCCAATTTGTAAATTTGGTAAATTTTGTTTTAAGGTCCCTTTGGTTATCTTAAGTTGAGATTTGGAAACTGTTCTGAAAATTCACACTTTCACTGTACGAAAGGAACTAAATGCTACTAAATTTAGTATTGGGTAAAGGGATAGAGCTGAAATCCTTGAAACCTTGGAAGTCTGTAAATTTAGTATGATGTATGAAGTTTTGTTTAAAAATCTGCCGGTACAGTTGTATGGACGCTATACCAAATATGACCTATTTTTACTAACATTGCTAAATCCACATTTCATTTTATGGTGGTTAAAATTAGTAAAACGAAATGTTGCAGAGGGAGTAGCAAACTTTGTATACCCTCTACACTATGATGGAGAGGATACAAATACACAACCAATCACATTTGGGAATTTATGTGGCAAAACATATTTATTTAATGTAAAAAATCAGCATTTTGACAAAAAAATATATATATATATTTATGCAAACAGCAACTCTGCCAACACATGCCAAAGAAATATGACCCATCGACGACTACCCGTTATTACACCTTATGCTAAGGTGTTTTGTTGAAAATAGATTTCCATCATCTGCTAAACAAATTACCCAGCGATATGCCACGCTTATTAACTGCCAAATAATAAATAATTTTTAATAATTGTCTGGTCGATGAAAACACACAAGCACACCCACAAATAAACCATCGAACCACCCCCCAGTTGATGTGTTTATAAAACAACGCCATTAATTAGGGGCACAAAGCAATTGATTGTGAAAACAAAAAAAAACCTACAACACCAACAACGACGTTAGACGCCAAATAAACAAGAAGAATAAACAAAAAGTCAAAAATAACGCAAAGGAAATATGAGAGTTGCAAAAAAAATATATATATCAATATGGGTATTTAAATCCTCACACAACTTATTGAATTTTCAAATAAAATGTAATGGAGGAAATGATAATGTGTGTATTGCAAGCATTTGTCATCTACTTTTCTATGTCTGGTGTATAAGAATTTTTATGAGGGACTTTTTTTGATTCGTAAAAAATAATCCAAAAAGCGAAAGATTTTTTTGCACATCCATTTTGCAGACTATTTATAGACGTCCAACAGATTTTATTTTTCTTAGAGTTTTAATAAAAATGGCCAATTCAATTAACAATTATAGCCATGTCTGTCCATTTATCAGCTTAATGTGTTTTTAATAATTTTTATTTTCCATTTTGTGCTGTGCGTTTAGTCAACACCATGCATATAACTAAAAAAAAATAGCAGCATATGGAAAAAATCTGTCTCTATGCCATGTTTATTGTATTAGAGTGGTTTGTGTGTTGTTTTATTTTATTTTTTAAATATTATTTATAAATGGACCAGCAAACAAACTTCTGTACTTCTTTTCCCGTGGATATTTCTACGTAATTTCTGCAGAGAAAATATAATCTCCCAAGTAGAAATTAGCTGGTCGTAGAGGTAATATGGTTGATATGTGAAATTCTTATTATCTTACTAGAAGTAAAATACAATCCGTATTTATTATTCATGATGTTGAGCCTTTTATGGGGGAGGTTCCGTAGGAGTTGGCCAATATTGTGCAACTCTTATCTGATATAAGTATTACAACGTGCCATATTTGGACTATACCACTTGCTATGACATATGTGATCATTTTTAGAGAATGCTGCAATGGGCGTAAGGTGCCACCTGTACCGGGTGAGATGAAAAAACTGCAACCAACTTCAGACTACTGGCATTTCTTAGCCACTCATCCTACAGTTGTTAAAATTATTCCTGTGACAGCTCATTATATTGTTTACACGCGTACAAAAGGATTTTGGTGAAAATTTCCAGAAAAATAAAAGTTATTCGTGATGGAATTTAAGCGTGATGGTGTGATTTCTTTATAT